TTGATATCTCCTTCACTTTAAAAATTATAAGCAAATTTGTAAAAAAAAAGTATAATCAAAAATTCAGAAGTCGCCTTTGGAAACAAATAGCAAAGACGTATCTGTCAAATTAAATTAATGGTTGACAAATATTGTTATGTAGTTATTTGGCTTTGAAAAATGTTCACGCACAATGAAAAAGTCGACATGTTATTAGTTTATGGGGAATCTCAAAAGAACCCTAGAAGAGCAGTTCAGTTATACGCCCAGAGATACCCCGAACGTGTTATTCCAAGCTTAAAAATATTTGCAAGATTGGAACGCAATTTACGTTCAAATAACAAGGCATTTTCTTCTCGAATGGGAAAAAAAATTGCTAAGAGTCAATTCTGATAATACTGTTGCCACTGTTTTGCAGTATTTTGAAACCCATCCAAGAAATTCGATTCGGCAAGCCTGTCGTGAGTTGAATTTAAAATATAGTTCGGTACGAAAAATTTTGAAGGAAAATGGTTACCACGATTATAAACTTCACAACCTAGAATACTTATCAGATCAACATCAACAACGAAGATTGAATTATATTGCCCAAGTGATGGAAACGTTAGAGTATGAAAATCGATTTTTTCAGCATGTTTTATGGACGGACGAAAGCCGTTTTGTTAGTAATGGTAAGCCCAATAAAAAAAATGAACATTATTGGGATACTGAGAATCCACATTTTGTCAATCCGATTGAAAACCAAGGGCATTTCGGAATTAACGTTTGGTGTGGTATTATTAATGGGCATTTGATTGGTCCTTATTTTTACGAAGGAATTTTATGTAGTGAGCGATACTTGCAATTTCTTCAAGAACAATTGCCTGTGCTTCTCGAAAATTTGCCATTACAGCTTCGAGCAAATATGTATTTCCAGCATGATGGAGCTCCACCGCATAAAGCAAGAATTGTCCAACGATATTTGAATGAAACTTATGGAGAACATTGGATAGGTATAAATGGACCGATACAGTGGGCGCCTAAATCACCGGACTTGACCCCACTAGATTTCTTTTTGTGGGGAAATTTGAAAAATAAAGTTTGCAGAACACCATCAGTTAACATGGAACATTTAAAAGACAAAATCAGAATTGCTTGCGATGAATTATCTAGAGAAATGTTACGTAAGGCTTCGGTAAGAGAAGTAAGACGGAGATTGGATAAGTGTTTAGAAGTAGGAGGTGGTCACATTGAAAATTTGTTTTAGTGATTGACTATGCATACAAGCTTTGTTTCTCTCTCTTGTAAGTAATATATTATTTGTTTCTTTTTTACAAATTTGCTTATAATTTTTAAAGTGAAGGAGATATCAAATTTTTTTCTTTATAAAATTTGTTCAGAAAAATTAGCTCTTTTTAAATTTATAAAAATATAGGTATGTTTCCGAAAAAAAAACAATCGATGACGTCATTACATCAGTTTCCAAATATGGACAAATATGCAAATTGGGCTTAAAACGGACCTTACTCTATCCCATTTAAGAACCTCTTTTCAACTTTTTCCTATCTTTTTCCCTTGTCCCATAATGGAGCTGAGACATCGAGTTTCGCTCACCCTGTACAATACAGAGCGTGGTATGACTCCATTCTATTGGCGGTTTTAACAACTCACATTTTTATTACTAACAGTCTCATTGAGTGGAGAGTCTATATTTTAGATCACCGTGTTACGCTCTGTACGCTCTGTTAAGCTCTGTAATAGTGTATTGTTTTGGTACGTACGTATATTTTATTGTACTTTTTAAATAATGCAAAAACGACATTTTTTTATTTATACCGATACTTATTGTCAGTAACAAATAAATAATAATATATCACCAATAAAATAATTCACTTTTGGCACCTAAAATATAAAACCTAAAATACAACCATCAGATAGAAATTTAGTCGTATACGAGGTTTGTCAAAAAAATGATATTTGGTCAGGAGTAAAGTATATTCATTTTTGACAAAGCTAAGCTAACCTAAACAAAAATAGTCATAACATGGGTAAAGTAAAAAACATAATAATTCTTTTAAAAGTTTTAAATTTAAAAATAATGGCAAACCTCAAACAAGTGAATATTTGAAGAATGTTACATTTTTTGTTTTCTTATTTTAGTTGAACTTCAAAAACAAAAGTCAATATACCCAATGACAATATGACAAACGAAGAAAAAATTAAAAATATTATTTCTAACTTATGTGACAAAATTCATGTGAAAGAAAGTAAAGTAACGGATCACGAAAAATATACAATTAGGCTGCAATGCAAGCTAATAGAGGAAAATGATCATGATGAAAAATGTAATATATGGATAGAACGGTTTTCAAAATTAACTGACACCAACTGAATTTCTGTCCGCCGATTTTAAAACGCAACGCGATACGAATTTCGAAAATTATATAACTGTCAACATTCGTCACAAGGCAAAGTCGTAGAATGCAAACGGAAAAGGGATAATTGCCGAATACGAAATAAGGAGTGCAAAGGTTCATTAATTTTATGTATGAATAATATGAATAACATGTGGATTCGCAAAAGGGAGTGGTGTCTTACGTATCAAATTAATATTATTACTCGAGGTAATAATACGAACAATTACACAGAAGCATCCATTAGAATTTTTAAAGATGTAGTTCTTCTGAGGTGTAAGGTGTTTAACTCGTGCGCCTTAGTGGAATTTATTTTCAAAGTCTTTGAAAATTATTATAAGAGCAAACTATTAGAATTTGCAAACTCAATGCGTTCCAAACCTAAAATTGATTATTCAAATATGTGTCGCAAAAGTAAAGACATAAAATTAATTTATAAAATAACTGATAATCTATTTCATGTTGGTTCAGAAGAAGATCCAAAGCTTTTATATACAGTAAATTCTGAACTAGCATTTTGTGATTGCCCATTTGGTACAAGTGGCAAGTTTTGAAAACATGTGCAATTAAAAAGAAATTTGGTTTTTTATTCAAAACATCACCAATTCTAACAGTTCCTGATAGAATACAATTGGTAAAATTAGCTGTTGGTCAGTCAGCCCCAGAAGACAACTTTTATAAAAATATGGATGATGATGATGTAAATGATATAAATGAAATGGATGCATCAAATAATATAAATGATACTGCAGTATCACAGGCAATATCATGTGATGACACTCCTATAAATGTCGTTTTTCTTGATAATGATAACCAAGAAAAATTCAACGAAGAAGCTGCTAAAATGCGTGCTCACTTTGATCGTTTAATATCCACACTACATGAAAATCACGATGCACAAACAACTCTTACGATAATAAAATTTAACACACTGTTACAGACCTTAAAAACGCCGTCCCAAATAATTGGTTTTATGGAAACAAAAACTCGTCTTTGTGGAAGGAAACAGCGAAAAATTAAAGTTCAATCAACAGCAATATCTCGCCGTAAACTCGAAGTTTACCGACAAGTGGTGCAATTCAAGCATAAAGACCTTTCAATAAAGAGCGCGTTAAACGCAAGCATAGTATTGCTTTAAATGTTTTGAAAAATCAACCGAACGCAAAACTGCATTAAGTAGACCTTTTTTTAATATTTGGCATTTTCTTAAATACACATGTCCATGAAATATCCTAAAAATAAAACATTTAGTTAGTCAACAATATTTTTATTTAATGCTTCCATTAGATTGTTATTAAATTGTTTTCTTTTAAATGTTAATGTTTTGCGAAAGATGGCTGGAGATCGACAACGAAATGGAGTCTCATGTCGCAATCACACCCACTACAATATATTGTGCGTTTCAGAGCAGTTAAATTATAATGTAATCTGTACCAAACGATGGATTGGCAGATTATTTCAAACTTATACCATCGCCAAATCATTGATCATTGTAGAAAATGGTCCGCTCTGTATTGTACGATAGATTGGCAATACGCCTCCGGGCGGCCGCCCTACCCTGGGAATTGTATTTTTTCTCATTTTATATCTTCTTAAATTGTACAGAGTACTTCTACACGAAGCTTTCAAAATAATACTGTAGGGAGATCTTTTAAAACAAAGATACCCATAGTTTTGGTCAAATCGAATTTTTAGGGGGTCAAATGGGGCTTAGAAATAAATTATGATTAAGATTATTGAAAAAATGCGATGGTCTTGTACTGAGAAAATATTAAAAATAACAATAAAACTAGTTATATTTGAAAAAATGAAATGTGATAATAATTTAGACCTACATTCGATGACGCATACAAAATTTTATATAAATCGATTCAGTACCTTTTGACTAATAAACAACAAATAGTTTAATTAAAGAACCCTTTTAAAGCCCCATTTGACGCCCTAAAAATTATATTTCGTCAAAACAAAAAATATGGGAATTTTTACTTTCCTCTACAGTATTATTTTGGCAGCGTACTTTCGAATCACCCTGTATACAATGACTACTAACATTTTCTATACTGTGATACTTACACTGCGCGTCATAATTGTTTCCCCTCACCAATATAACATAAAAATTTCATATATTTTTAATTTTGGTGGATTTTAAACATCATCTATAAAAATTCATTAAATTTGATACGGCACTGTACCCTTTTACAAAATTGGGATACGTCACTGTGTTATTTATCGACCTAATTTAAATAATTAAAGATTCAATGAAATCTATATTCCTTATTATTAGTTTTTTTTGTTGTATATACCAAATTTTTTTTATAAAAAAATTTGTTATCCACAAAAAAAATGTTTCTAAAGCAGGTATTGAAAAAATTTATGTTTGTCGAATCGTACTTCTTCGTTTTAAGTATCAATGTGCGCAGTTTTAACGTCTTTGTCGGTCATGGACTACTTTAGAAACGTTTTTTTGTAGATGTAACATTTTTTAATATATGTGCTTTAACAGTGCCTTTTGTGAATAACACTAATCTTCCTATAAATCTACAACTTTTCTTTTCAATCTTGTATTTTTATTATATTTTTTCTTCGCCCTGTATATTAGGATAAGTATATGTATAAAACGTTTTTCAGGTTCAGGGAGACCGAGAACATATTGGAAAGATCGTATGTACCATTTTTTTGTGTTTTTTTTTTGTATAACTACGATATTTTTTTAGATTTTTGACGTGTCTGCATGAATTTTCGTAGCAATTAGAGACACATGTTTTTTGTTATAAAAAAAATATAATCTATCGTGAACAGGTACTTAATACGAGTAGATTTTTTTTTGAGTAATTAACAATGAAAAAACTACAAATGAGACTTAGTTTTATAAATAAGTGAGTCAAATTTTTGTAGTACCTAATACTTAGTACTGTTATTATTATTATTAGTAGTCTCTACAGGGTGTTGCCTTAGTGCGTAATTATTCAATATTTCAATTTGTATTATAGATACGCAACAAAATTTCGAATAAAAGCTATTAGTCTAAGATCCGAAGTAAGGTCGACCTTCACCCATCTGTTTAATGGATGAAAGTTTCTTTTTATTACATAAAATATATTTATAAATATACCGCAAATGGGTTGTCTAAGAAAATACGGTCCAGGCTATGTTTTTTCGTAAAGTAAAACAAACGACACCCTGTAAAGTATTCCCTAGATGCTTCAACTATGCCCAAACTTTAATCAGCTCACCGCAGGATGGATTAAAGCTTAAGTTTAAAATTTGATGTTTTTCTCTTTATCCGTTTTTGAGTTGTCTTCAAAATTCTAAATTTGCACTTTTGCTCAAATATCTCGAATTAGGTCCATTTTAGGAAAATCATGTATAGGAATAAAATAATAGATAATGACCTCATAAACATTTTTTATAATGATTTTTATACTTTCCCTATCTGTACACAGAAAGGAAAGTAAAAAATGGCCTTGACCGTATTTTCTTAGGCAACCCATTTGCGGTATATTTAAAAACATATTTTATTTAATAAAAAATAAGTTTTATCCATTAAACAGAGGAGTGAAGGTCGACCCTACTTACGGATCCTGGACTATATGAATTTGAAAAATACATATTTTTAAAATATTTTTGGATATACAGGGTGTTGCGTTTTTATATTATTTTTAGAATGGTTTGGTAATACTGTATTGAACCCTAGAATGTTTTTAAAAAATATTACAGTTTTGCCAAGCAATTAATTTTTTTTTTGAAATACGAGAATGAAGCAGACTCCAAATTAATTATCATAATTTAGGTAGGTTTACATTGATTTCAAAATTGTTTACTATACAGACTTATAAGATACAAAGCTAACGAATAGTGGTGATATAACTGGTTTATTTTATACAGTGTCTTAAATATGGCTAATTTTAAGTTCAATTTACTCAATTTCTTTAAATACATCACCCATCACCCTGTATATTATTTTAGCAAAAAATTCCTTATAAATTTATCTTTCCAACGATATCAATAAGTTATCCAATAACACCTATACAGGGTGTTCCATCAGTGCATAATTGATCGATAGCTGTTTTAATATAAAAATAATATGTATGACGATGTGTAATAAATATCCCTAAATATACAGGGTGCTTCATAAACCAGGGGCTGATTAAGTTTATTAATTTTTAAAGCAAAACAGCATGCAGCTATTTATACATATTTGATTGTTTTCACATCGATTTTTATTAGACTTAATTTATTTGCTATCTCGTATATAGCGCGCGTCAAAATGCTGGGTAACGATTTTCTCATTTGTTTAAAATGGAATACCCTATACTTTATACTACTAATTAATTAATGAAGGGTATTCCATTTAAAAAATTGAGAATATCTTAGCCTCACGTTTTGACACACCCTATATACAACATAGCAAATAAGTAGTCAATTAAAATAGTTTGACGATGTAAAAAAAATATGTATAACTACCTGCAGGGTGTTTTGCATGAAAAAAGTATAAATTTAGTCCACACCTCGTTTATGGACCATCATGTATATTTAAGAATATAAATGTTAAATATTGTCATACCACTTTTATATTAAATATTTCTTCGTATTTCTAATAATAAAACGGCTATCAATCAGTTGTGCACTGATGAGACACCCTGTATATGTGTTATTGGCTAACATGTTGGTATCGTTGGATAGATAAATTAATAATAACTTTTATGCTAAAATAATATACAGGGTGTTGTATTTAAAAAAATTGAGTAAATTGAACTTAAAATTAGCCATATTTAAGACATATTTCAAGATACTCTGTATAAAATAAACCAGTTCTATCACCACTATTCGTTAGCTTAGTATCTTATAAGTCTGTACATTAAACAACTTTGAAATCAATCTAAACCTACCTAAATTATGATAATTTATTTTCGGGTCTGCATCATTCTTTAATTTCAAAAAAGTTTAATACCTGGCAATTTTGTAATATTTTTAAAAACATTCTAGGGTTGAATACAGTATTACCAAACAATTCTAAAACTAAAATAAAATGCAGGGTGTTCTCTTTAAAAACATACATTTTAATTTTCCAGGCAAAAACGCAACACCCTATATATTCAAAAATATTTTTAGAATGTGTAATATTGAAAACCATATAACTTTTAATTAAAACTTTTTTGCGTGTCTATAACAGAAATTGAAATATTGAACAATTATGCACTAATGGGACATCTTGTATATTGGCGCTGTGAAAGTGTGAAGAATGTCTACACCATGGTGTGACTATAAGGTGAACTAACTTCCACTTAAAAACAAAAGGAAATGTGGTCAAAATTTATGTATTTTTAACGTACCCTTATTTAACATTATAGGTGACATGCTTATGTCATTCACACTCTACTTGTGAATAATTATGTTTTTAAAATAATTGTATTTTGTATTTTATATGTTTTGTCTAATAAATATAGTTTATAAAGTCATCCTTTACTATAATTAACTACAGGGTGATAGTATATTCAACCGACAACGTTCTACCCCAGAGATCTCTAGTTAATTGATTAATTTTGATGTAGGAACATCGGAGATACATACACTATAAATCAGAAAGATTTTCAAATATTTTTTTTTAAAATTGATCTACCAAGATATTGTCAAATACACGAACTATTAAAAATTTGACACGTGCCTACTAGATTGGAATTTAGGAAAACTTAGTCGTTACAAATTATCTAAGTACATGCAGAGTTTTGTTTAGAATCAAATTTTTATAATACTGTTCATTTTAGCTTCATTAACGGTAATTATTTTTTAAACTAAAATTGAACATATTAAAAAAATAAACAAAAATATTTGTTCTAGCGGCGTAAAAATTAGTGGAAAAAAGTTTCCTCTAACCCTGATAGCGCGCCACTGGTAAAAGTTTTCAAAATATTAATTCCTTAAAGAGCATATTGGTTACCAAATTAAAAAAACATATATTTAAAAGCATTTTTGTTTTTAGGCAAATTTTGAATTTTGATTTAAATCTTTTAACACCCTGTATGTCGATAACTAAACCCTTTCATGTTCTTATATCAAAATTCATCAACTAACGCGAGGTCTATAAGGTAGAGTGTTGTCGGTCGAATATACTAACACCCTGTATATAACAGTTACAAGTAACAATCCGCTAGGTTTCTTAGTGTAATTACGGCAACACTGTTGCCAGCAGCGGGAAATTTATCCGATTTTCGAAAGGAAAAAAGCGTTAATAGAAAGATATTGCAAATTCCTATAACGTTAGCCACTAATAGTGACAACATAATTAGAGGCAAGTAAATTCCATGCTGTAATTTGTAACGTGTAGAGGGTGGGTTACCCCCACGGCACCTAGGCCTCACCAGGCCCATTGTGCATCCTCCTAAGATGATGAGCACCTCCTAGCTCGTGAGCCAGCCTACAGATCTAATGTAGTTGACAACGTCGCCAAGAGGTGCTTCTCTTATATCGGCCATCGGCCGGTGTTAGCCGATACTCGCCGAACACAAATTTTCTACTAACTGAGAGCGTCGAGCAATTGTAAAGAATATGCTCGATATCGAGATGCTTCCGTACTTGGCAATGACCAGTCAGAATGCCTGTGATTAGGCGCAGATTCTGTCTAGTCATAGTCAAGTAGTTGTTTGCTGCAGTGTTATCAAAATAACTTAAGAGCTCCCTGGCAATTCGGCAGTTTCTTATTTCATCCCATCTTTCCTTGAATTTCACAAGGGAATGTTCTTTAATTAGGTGTGTCACTACCGAATTTGTCCGGCCAATAGAAAGGCCATGTCCAAAAAGTATTTGGTTGGCTACTTTCTTGGCTAGTGAATCAGCAAGACGGTTACCTTTTGATGTGGGGTTACCTTTGATCCATCTTAAGGTGACCACATTATTGATGGATACTTCGGCCAAACCTTTTTGACATTCTAGTACTAACCCTGAGTAAATTTGTGGTCTGTTTAGGGTGAGTAGTGCTTATCTGCTATCTATATAGATGAGCATGTTCCTTCCAGTGATATTTTTTCTGGTTATTTCTTTTGCTGCTATTAGAATCCCCGTTAGCTCTGTTTGAACTACATTGGCACTATTGCTCATAGCCCATTTTATATTTAGATTTAAGAATCTGGAAAATATTCCACATCCTAAGCCTTGTTTTGTTTTAGAACCATCAGTGTAGATATGAATCCTACCTGCCACTTCCGGCTCTTCTATTTGTTCTGTTATAACTTTAAATGGCTTAATGAAGATATATCTCGGTGAGATGGAGTCCAGCGCCTCGTACCAAAAGCAACGTCTTGCCTCACTAGATGGTTCTATTTCATTGTCATTAGAGCAACCTCCTTGATGTAAATATCAAGGGGAGTGAGACTAAGAATTAATTCCATGGCTCTGGTCGGTGTTATTTTCATGGCTCCTGTTATGTTGAGACATGCTGTTCTTTGAATTTGTTCTAGTTTACGGATAGTTGTTAATTTTTGGGTTTTAAGTACCCAGACAACTGCACCGTATGTTAGCATAGGTCTTATGATAGTCGTGTAAGTCCATGCGACGACTCTGGGGGAGAAACCCCAGGTGCATCTCACGGTTCGGCGGCATTGTTCATAAGCAATGTATGCTCTTTTAAATCTGTTTTCTAAATGCGAGTTCCATGTTAACTTGCT